GGTGGCACGGACAAAGCCCCAACACCCACCCCTGCAGGTCTTCAATAAACGCTAATTCTGTCTTCTGCTTTTTTCTTCTTCTTCCAAGTTTAAAATTAAAAATAGATGTTTTGAAAAGAGACCAGCAGACTGGCAGGCGAGCAGGTCTTCGGAGACGGCCTGAGTTGCCTTTTGGTGACTAGCGAGATAGGCAGAAGGGAGCCCTGACGGTCCGACGTGGTCCTAGGTGGCAGCTCGATGAGTGAGCACCCTGATCCTTGCGGACATATCTCCAACACCGGGGCGAGGGGAAAGAAGCAAGTCACAGGAGGAAAAGTACACAGCACGAGCTCAGTTGTAGCAAGTTTAAGATGTTAGACGATGTTCTATATTCTTTGTGGTGCCTGTATGCACCCACCTTCAGGAGAACCTTCCCTCAGGAGCAGAGGAAAAGGCCATGAGGCTGATGTGAGGTGCAGGAGGCGGGAGCCGACTAGGTCTGTATTGAGCACATACTACGTGCCAGGTACTCTTCTAACAGGCTCACCTACCAGCCCATTTAACAGATGAGTAGACTGAGGCACAGAGCGGTCAAGCGGCCTGTCCAAAGTCACACAGTAAGCGGCAGAGGCCACGCTCTGGATTACTAACCCACATCGCCTCTCATACTATGGCTCAGTGTTCCTCATGTTTTGAGAAAAGACTTAAGACGTCTACAGCAGTTGTGGTCAAATATTAACATGGGTGAAGTCTGGTGGTGTGTCCTCGGGTATTCTTTCTTCTGTGCTGTATAATTTCCTGGAGGTGTGAAATGTTTACAAAAGCCTCCTCTGGCCCTAGGCCCTTTGCCCGGCCATGACCCACATCACACCGGTAGTCCAGCTTCCCCGGGTGGCTGAGCAATGACCAGCTCACCCCTCCCTCCCCCCACAGTGCTCATGAGATGACGCCTAGCATATTCTCCTGCTGCGGCTGGGTGGCCTGGGCCCTGGGGAGAAAGGATCAGCCAATACCTGGGCTGCCCCAACGAGACAGGGAGGGCGAGTGGCCCCGCTGGGCAGACAGGTTGGCCCATGGCCTTTCCCATCACTCTGGGGAGGAAACTGATGGCTGTGTAATAGCGGGCGTCTGGTCGGCAGGAGCTGGTGCATGGCTGGCTGCCCACACTGCCCCAGTCTGGCCAGCATAGGCTTTGGGTGTTCCTCTGGCCTGTGTGTCCTGGTTCTGGCATCTGGCAGTGCCCTCTGGGCTCCCGGAAATGTGGGCAATGCGCCTGGACCCTCAGGCAATCCTCAGGACCAATGGGCTGGGACCCAGAGTGGCCAGCAGTGGCCTGGTCTCACCTCCACCCTACCCCCACTCAAGAGGTAGGGAAATTGGGGCTGAGTTTGAGGCAGGGTCCTACCTAGGGTCACAAGGGGAGTCGACAGCAGGATTGGGTGTCCTCTTGTGCCAGGAGGGGCCTGGCTGGGCAAGAAGGCAGCCTTTGGGCCCTGAAGCATCTGCTGACAGCACACATGAAGCCAGTGTTTGGGGAAGAAAATCCGGAGGTTTCCTTAGCCACAGGCCTGGCTTCCGCCACTGTTTCCATCACGTGGGGCTCAAAGAACCAGCTTTGTTCCTGCTGCTTAGGTAGTGTCCCCCTCCCCCCGACAAATGTCCCTGGCTCCAGATGGCATTTGGTGAAATCGTCCAGGCCACCTAGCCCATGGCCCCCTGCTCTGGCAGGAGCCCAGGCCTCAGGGGCTGTGACATTCACTGGTGCTTCTTAGCTTGTCCCCCGCTTAGGTAAGAAGGCAGGTTAGACGGGGCTGGAGTTGGGGGGACTGCCTTGGTGGGGTGGCGGACAGCCTCTGAGAAAGCCTTTAATCCTGGAGAGTAGGCCTTTGTTACAGAGACCACTGTGGGAGCATTTCACTGAGGGCCACTTTCCCCTCCCCCTGCAAGAGCTGTGAGGGGGGCTTGAGGGCTTCCTAGAGGTAAAGTCCCCAAACCACGCCCCTCCTTTAGACTGTGAAATCCCACCCCCGCCCCGGGAGTTCCTCAGCCTCCCGTTCCTCTGCACTGAGCGCCCGGCAATTCGTCAACATGACCTTTGAAGCCTGCCGACAGGCTCTGGTTCCAGAAACTTCTGCTCCAGGTGACCAGATCACCGCTGGGACTCTGCACTTATTTGTCTCTCCAGATTTGGGGGTGGCGGTTGACCCTCGGACCTCAGTTCTCAAATGGGTCTGGGAAAAGTCACCAGTTTTCTGTTTGTTCAGCCTCTTTCTTAGTGGCAAGACTGGAGTGACAGCTTCCAAGCTCCTACACGCCAGAGAGGAACCAGAGACTCTCAGGCACCAGCTTGCTGTGTGACGCAGCCTGTGTTTCCTCGTCTGTCTAGTGGGTCTCAACACAAAGACTCTGTGGCCACGTGCTGCCAAGACCTGTCACAACAGGCGTGTTGGGGACCCTGGCAAATGTGAGTCCGTGGTGGAGTCACCAGAGTCCGGGCCCTCCAGCCTCCCTCCCCGTGACCTCAGGCAGCAGGCCTTCTCTGAGGTCAGACAGCGCAGCACACCAGAAAACAGCCAGGTGGGCACAGGGGCCTCGAGCCTAGTGCCCCATAGCTGCTTAATAAACATTTATGAAATGAACTAACGAACAAATCTCTAGGTTCTCCACCCGGATGGGGATGGGGGCTCAGCATGACACCATGCTCTGGTCTCAGACTGTGCCTCGGTAACTGGCCATGCCAGGTGCGTATGTTGGTGGGGAGGGTGTCTGCCTGGCCATCTCCTGTGGGAATGACATTGGGCATTGATGAGGCTGTCCCCAAAGTTCATGACTATAGCCCAGGCTCCGTGTCTCCCCCTTCTCTCCCATCCCCATACACCCTTTCCAGGGCCCTGTGTTGATGTTATTATTATGGTCTGAATGTTTGTGTCCCTCCAAAATTCATATGTTGAAATTCTAACCCCCAAGACAATGGTATTAGGAAGTGGGGCCTTTGGGAGGTGATTAGGTCACAAGGGTGGAGCCCCCATGAGTGGGATTAGTGCCCTTGTAAAAAGACACGAGCTTGCTTCCTATCACTCTTTCTGCCATATAAGGATACGATAAGAAAGCCATTTGCAATGCAGAAGGGAACCATCATCAGAACCCAACTGTGCTGGCACCCTGATCTTAAACTTCCAGCCTCTAGACCTGTGAGAAATAAATTTCTGTTGCTTGCAAGCCACCCAGTTTGTGGTATTTTGTTATAGCAACCTGAGCAGACTGAGACAGGTATCATCACCCTGTCTGACTCCAGGCTGGGAGGAAGGGGCCATTGCAGAAGCCCTTTTCAGCTCCTGTCTTGGCTCTGCCCTTGCCCAGATCGTGTGCAGGAGGGCCCCTGAGGGCTGCATTTCCCAGGCTTCAGCTCCAGCCTCCACCTACTAGGTAGGCCAGTGAAAGGAGCTGGAAGGCCAGAGGAAGGGAGAAGCCAGGGAATTTCTCTCCCTCTGTCTCAGGCAGAATCTCTGAAGGGCTTGCCTCCTCCAGTTCCACCAGACAGACCCACTGGGTGTCCGGCTTTGACCAAGGGACCCTCGCCCCTTGGCTTTAGTAACATTTCCTGCTGTTCCGTCAGTCAGGGACTTGTGGAATATTCCTGCTGTTGCTAGTCTCAAGGTTGCCTCACTGTCCCCTGTATGGCTTCTTGGTCATCAGTTCTCTGCATTAAATTCCCCTTGTTTTAAATACTTAGAGATGTTTGATCTTCTGTGTACTCTCTGGCTCATACACGGCACCTGTTTGGGCCTAAGCCACAGAACTCAGGGAGCTCACAGCCCTGCAGAATCGAATCCACCCCCAGTCCTGCCATGAGGGGTGGCACAAAGACACAGATCCCCTTCCCCAGGGCAGCCCAAAGAGACCTGCCCAGGCTGGGTTTGTGAGTTGGGGCCATGAAGGCTAAGTAGGAGTTTGCCAGACAGAGAAGATGGAGAAAGGCATTCCTGGGAGGAGCAAGTGCCGAGGTCCACTTGGGAAAGTGCCCAGGGGTGGGGGGCGGTTTGGTGCCATGAGATTCTGGGGAGGGGGGGGCGTGTGTGTGTGCACGTGCGCGTGCATATAGGGGGTCCTGTCTGAGCAGCAGGAGCTGAGGCTGAGTCCCGGCCTGCTCTGTGTGTTGTACACCAGGGTTGCTCAAAGAGTGATCCCAGAATTTCTTGAATTAGAGTTTTGTAGGGGCCGTAACAATCTCTGGGCCTCAGAGGTCCATTTTTAGGGGGCTGGCTTGCTCCAAAGAGTGTGCAAACCACTGCCCTGGGCTCCGAGAGGCCTCAGACCTGGTTCAGCAGGGGAAGGACCCCATGGTATTTGCTTTTCAGAAAAACCTCTCTGGTTCTGTGGAGTGGTGGTGATGGGGAGGGAGGAGAGGCCTGGGGCTGCTGGGGAAGCTGGTTCCATAACCCAGGTGCATGATACAGGGCAGAAGCTGGGGCAGGAGCTGGAGGATGGACTGGATGCCCACCCAGGAGGTACACAGGAGTGGGCGGGGGGTGGGGGGTGGGGAGGGCCGGCCTGCAGTCCCAGGCTGTCAGGGAATCTGCTGACCCAGGAGGGCAGAAAGGGAAGAAGCCTGGGGTGGGGGCCAAGGCTGGATTCTAGAGTCTGCCCCATCCTCCCCCCCCCACCCTGGGCCGAGGTTTCACTTCTTGTGAGTGTCAGGGCAACACCACCAGCCCTTTACAGGCTGCAGTCCCATTTTTAAGTGATTCTGTGAGCACTCCCAACCACTGGCTCCATCGTGTTCCTCCCCTGGCCCAGTCAGAGGTAGGACCGGGAATCCAGGGGTCCAAACCTCTGGCTGGGGGCTCCTGCACGTCCTGCGCTAAAAAGCGCCGGGGGTGGGGGCCAGCTGCGTCCCAGACGGCAACGGGAAACACAGTCCACACCCAGGCCCCAGGAGGCCGGGTCACTGCCATTGTAACTGGAAAGACTCCAGGTCCAGGAGGAAGGGGCTGCCCCAACGGCGGGAACAGAGGTTGCGCCGAGTTCCGAGTTTTGCACCGCGCCCCTCTTCCTTCAGTCCCGCCGGGACGTCCCCGACCAGAGGTGACCTCCTAGCAGGGGAGGTCTCCAAACCCCAGGCCCTGCGGGGCGGGCGCCCCGGGAGGGTGCTGGCGGGGCGAGGGGCGGGCGCTCAGGGCGCGGCCGGCGGCTACTCGTGGGCCGCACTGGGCCGGGGGTGCCCTCCCTCCGCCTCTTCCTCCGCGGGCCGGGCCGGGCCGGGGCGGAGCGGGGCGGCGGCATGGCGGGCCGGCGGGCCGGGGCCGGGACCGGGGTCTGGAGGCTGCTTGCGCTGCTGGCGCTGCGGGCGCTCGGCGCCGCGGCGCACCCGCAGTGCCTGGACTTCAGGCCGCCCTTCCGGCCCCCGCAGCCGCTGCGCTTCTGCGCGCAGTACTCGGCCTTCGGCTGCTGCGCTCCCGAGCACGACGCGGCGCTGGCCCGGCGCTTCGGGGCCCTGGCGGCGCGCGTGGACGCCGCGATTTGGGCCGAGTGCGCCGGCTACGCGCTTGACCTGCTGTGCCAGGTGAGCGGGCGCGCGGGGCGCGCGCCAGGGGCCTAGTTCCTAGATGGGAGGTCGGCTCTGGCAACCCCACTGGGACAAGATCAAGGGTGGGCGGCGGGCTTTGTAACCCGAGCCCCCACCCCCACCCCCGCAGGAGTAAACTGGGCACGGGGCAGAGATTCGGGCATCCTGGGATGGCTCTGGGCTTTGCCATCATTAGCTTTGTGACTTGGGCTTTATCTGGGCCTCGGTTTCCCCTCCTGATGAGGTCATCACTCTCTCAGAGTTTGGGGGGCTCTTCTGCCCTGGCACCGCCTAAAGACCCCCAGTGCCGCGGCCCTGGAGAGCCCTGCCCTTGTTGGAGTACCAGGGTGGGAAGCCTCTGTCCTGCTCGGGGCTCCCCTGCGCTGCCCCCCGGGGAGATGGGAGCCGCAGACCCCTGCAGAGGGCATGGTCAAAGCGCTGGACTTGGGTTTGTCGCAGGGTTTGGGGGCACACTTCTCCCAGTGAGGGCCCTTCCCGCAACCTGGAGGAGCTGTCTGACAGCCCCTCAGTACACCGGGATCCTGACGTGCGCTGGTGCTCGATCCTGGGTGACCCCCGGTGCTGAGATGTCCCAGGTGATTCCAGACCATACCTTGGTTTGTGCTGTGCCCTTTTCCCGGGATGGCACTCCCACCCGGCGTAGGCATAGGCACTCTCATCCTCCAAGACTACCCCAGTGAGATCCCTTTGGTGAAACCCCTCTGCCCCTGTGGGGGCTGAGTTCCCGCTTCTGCTCGCACCAGACTGTGCCTTAGCTGTTCGTTTTCCTGATTCCGGAGCGCCTGAGCAGAAGCCCTGGCCGGCAATGGGTGGAGGCTGAGAAGTCCTAAGGCTGGCCCTGGCCCCACAGCTGGACAGTGGGAGGACCCATGGGTGGAGGGGTCCTGCCCACACAGCACAGAGTCGTAGCCTTCAGCTGGCAGGGGCAGGCGCTGATGGGAGGAGCGAGAGGGCTGGCTTAGATCCAGACATACTAGGGTTCGATCCTGGCTCTGCCACTTCCTGGCTTTGCGACCCTGGGCAGGTCATCACTGCACTTCAGTTGCATCGTGTTTACAACAGGGGCGACCCTAGCTTCCCCAACAGGGTTGCCATGAAGACTAAATGACACATACTCGGGGCTCAGTGGACGATTCTGCCTGGGTTTCTCTAGTGCTTCCTTGGTCCCCACTGGTTGCCCTGCCCTGAGCAGGGACTGAGTGGGGCCTACAGGCTGATTCAGGGAACACCCAGAGTGGCAGGGACTTGCTTGGTGGTCACACAACTCAGTGGTGGCACTTGGACCACAGTTGTTGCCATGTGAATGAGCCATCCGGGTAAGAAATAAGGGGGGGCTGGGAGCAGACAAGGGGACAGACCCTGGGGAGCTCCAGAATGCAAGGGGGTGGGCAGCTGTCCTTTGGCGGAGTTTGCTGAGCACCTACACTGTGCATCTCAGGGGAGCCGGAATGGTCTGGTCAGGTGTCCCCCTAGCTCACCTGCCTGGGGACTCCTGGGGCAGATCTTCTGGTCTTCCCACCCTGGTCACATAGCAGAGTACGTGCATCCACCCCCCTTTTTTTAATTGAGCATTTACTATGTGCCAGGCTCAGCAGGGCCCAAAGGTGTGCAAGTCTGAGGAGGGAGAAGGGAAGGCTCAGGCCTGCTACCCCTCCCCTGGCAGGAGGCTCCCTCTCTCCTTGGGAACCTTCCCAGTACGGCCTGGCCTTGAGCAAGCAGCGGTAGAAGGGCCACTAGCATCTCACCCCAGGCATCTCTGGGAGTGACCTCATGTCTGGAGCAAGCTTGGAGAGTACACCCGAGGCTGGATCACAGTTTCCCTGCCAGGACCTCGTGGGAGGGAGGGAAGGAGAATGCTAGATGGGGGATGGTATTCTCTGCAAGCCAAGGCTGCGTCTGGATTCAGCACCTCCTGATTTCCACGAGGGAAGGTGGCCAAGGTACTTTATTTACAAGTTTCAGTCAATGACGGCATTCAGGGATCCACATCTGCTTGGACTCCAGATGGGGAGAGAGACCATGAAACCATGCCTACGCCCAAGTCCCCCCCCGAACCTGCCCCTATCTGGCACCCACAACTCCTCTAGATGCCCAGGATGGCTCCTTAGCCAGAGGCCAGTAGTCCCTCCTGGCCCCTTCAGACCCTTTCTTGGGGCTTTGCCCTCGTCCAGCTGATGCCTATGTCATCAGGAGGAGAAGAGACAACTTGTGACACATGGCAGCTCAGGTCCCAGATTGATGGGAGCTAGCCCACATAGCGAACTTCCCATGTAACTGAGATGGCCTCTTTAAGTACCTAAAATCATCAAAGCATGGTTTCTGATAGAAGTCTGTGCAAAACATGCTCTGCAGGCTCAGGTACTGGGCAGACATTTCCTCGGAGCCTATTAGGAGTTGGCCCTATGCTGGGTGCTGGGCCCAGAGGCAGTTGGCCAGTAGCAAGCTCAGTCTCAAAAGTTCCCTTGTTCATTTCAGGAGACAGACACACAGACACTTACCAGAATGGCCAAAAGCCTTCCCAAGGGTGACTGTGGAGCCATAGTGAGAAAAGCCACACTTACCCTGAAAAAGTCAGGGAAGCCTTCCTGGAGGAGGGGACACTGAGTTGCCTCTTGATAGTCCGTATTGTCTGAGCATTATTTCAACAAACACATGCATCATTTCAGTTTATTCCTCCCAATGATTATATGAGGTTGGAATTTTTTCCCCTTTTATAGATGAAGACATAGGCACAGAGAGGTTAAGGAAATTGCCCAAGGTCACTCAGGGAATGGTAAACTCAGTCTCCAGTGTGCTCTGACTCCAAAACCCCTCTTTTAATCACTTTGCCTGCCTTCTTGAAGCCCCACCATGTGCTGGGCCCTGGGGTCCCTGCCCTGGATGGTCTCACAGCCTATGGGGTGGACACACAAAGAGGTAACTAAGTCCTAGTCAAGCAGACCAGCTGAGCAGTGGGGAGCTGACAGCAGAAGTGGAGCACTCACACTGCAAGCTACAGAATTACAGTTTGGTGAGTGTTGTGTCTGAGATACGGACAGAGAGCTGTAGGAGCATCCACAAGGGCTGGGGGATCAGGGCCCTGAGAGAATAGAGGTGTAAGGGAAGACTGTTGAGTTGCGCTTTGAGTCATGAATAGGAGTTTGCCAGATGCAGAAGTGGGCGAGGAGGGAACGTCCTATAAGAGAATATTGTGTACAAAGACTCAGTCTTCCTGGGGAATTCCCTGGCGGTCCAGTGATAGGACTCAGCATTTTCACTGCTGAGGGCCCGGGTTCAATCCCTCGTCGGGGAACTCAGATCCCACAAGCTGCATGGTGGAACCAAAAAAAAATAGACTTGGTCCACCTCAAGAGTAGACGGTGGACATAAGAAGCCTTTGGGACTCAGGACCATGGGTCATGAGTGTCAGTGACGGCACATTGGCAACCTCGGGGCAATAATGTGGGCAGGCTGTTTGCCCCTGTGCTGAAAGGCCCAGACAGCTAAGCAATGTGATACTGGGTTGGTTTTCCATGGGTTTTCTGCTGCCTCCCCCTCACTGACCACCGTGAGGCTAGTTGCCGACTGAACTCCTTGCGAGCAGCGACCGCTGCACCCCCTTGTCATTTCCTGCTCTGGACTACTCAGGCCTGGGCACCAGGTTTGTATTGTGTGTAAGTAAGAGTGCATGGGTCATGAGTAAGGTTTGGCCGGACCCAGTGGGTTTGACGCATGGATGCTGAAATTCCAGCCTGGCTCCCCGGAGGCCCTCCCTGCTCCATCTCTAGTTCTGGGTGGGGTTTGGATGAGTGGAGGCTTTCAGATTGGCTTTCAGAAGTCTGTTTTGCTCCCCACTGTGTCTCTGGAGCCGAGGACAGTGCCTGGCACAGAGTCGGTGCCCAGTAAACGCTTGTTGAATGAAACTCTGCTGAGTAATCTGAGAAAAGCCCCGGTCTGGGCATCGTGAGGCCTGGGGCTGAGCCTCGGCTTGGCCGCTTTTTGGCACCTGGCCTTCTTGAAGCCTCAGGTTCTCATCTATACAGTAGAAATCACAATGACCCTACCTCGCAATGACTAAATGAGGCGTGCGCACACGCAGACCCTCCCTGGTCCGGCCACGGCTGCTAGCTGCACTCACAAGAGGCCCCAGGGGAACCGTGGGAGAGGCGGCACTGCACAGAGGCCAGGGCCTGGCCGTCCGGAACATGTGGAAACGCTTTCCCTGTCTGGGCCTGGGCAGTACTGACCAGAAACACAAGCACGTCACCAAGTGGCCCTCAGCCCCACAGTAGCAGTAGTTGGGCCAGGAGGACAGGCCGTGGTGTGACTAAAAGCCCCAGTCGTGTAAAGGGAGGGTACGGCCCCTGGCCAGGAGCCTGAGAACACGGTCAGGAGGGCAGCCTGCCACCCTCTGCCCCTGAGGGCCTCCTGTTGGAACCCAGCCTGGCCCTGCCTGTGAGGGCGGAGCGTGTGCCTGTCTGCGCCTCCCCTGCTGTGGGAAGAGCATCCCCTGATGCCTCGGGGGCCCAGGCTTGAGTCAGACCGGGCTTTGGCCTGGTGAGCTCACGCAGGGGGTGGGCGGCGGGTACCAGACTCATAACAGTTACATATGCTCAGGTCCGAGGCTCTAGCTGAGGGAGTCCCTCAGAGAGCCTGGGGTGCTGAGGCCTCTGCTCTGGGGGGCTCTCAGCTCTCAGGTGGTGGGCACTGGAGCCTGAAGCTGGGAGAGGCCTGGTCACATTTGTTGCCACTGCCTGGGTTGCCAGAAAGCAGAACCCGGGGCAAAGCTCATGGCTCTTTCCCTTATTATGGTGAGAGGACGCTGTAAGCAGACGTGGCAAGGGGCAGAGGGAGAGCCAGTCGAGAATGCAGTTGCGAGTCGGCTGCTGCCAAACGTGACGGATGCTTGAATTGGCAAGACTGGGGTTCCAAGAAAACCACACAAACTGTGAATCAGGACTGTCCTGGGGTGGGGGGTGGGGGGAGGAAGGCGGAGCAGGTTATCTGTCAGCTCCCTTTTCCCAGGGGCCAAAGGTCTGTCACATCAGGCATTAACTCCCCCACATTCCGGATGGGGCCCACGTGGGAGATGAGTGGGGTCCCAAGCGTCTCATCAATGGGGATGCCCTCGGTGGGAGGTGAGGGGTGAGCCACGGCTGCTGGGTTTTGCCCTGTGACGTTAGACCCCAGGACCAGTGAGGTCAAGAAGGTCTGAAGAGGTGCCCGGGGGTGGGGGGGTTCCTGATTCATTTGTGTCACAGAACAACAGCTCTGGCAGCAGAGGACAGCCCCAGGGCCCTGCCTGGGAGGGGCTGAGCCCAAGGTGACTAAGGGATGGAGGAAGGGGGTCCCGGTGGTCAGGGGGACATGTGGGCATGTGCGTAATCAACGCACTCACACGTGCACATGCACCAGCCTCCCCGGTGCTGGGAGGATGAGGTTGGCCTGAGACCAAACCCAGATCCTCCATGTTGACCGATGGCGCTGGGTGACACTGGGGGGCCCACACCTGGGTCTCCCCATCTGTAGCACTCTCACCCTCATGGGCTCTTTTTTTTTAAATTAATTAATTAATTTATTATTTATTTTTGGCTACACTGGGTCTTTGTTGCTGCGCGTGGCTTTCTCTAGTTATGCCGAGCAGGGGCTACTCTTCGTTGCGGCGCGTGGGCTTCTCATGGCAGTGGCTTCTCTTGTTGCAGAGCTCCGACTCTAGGCGCGCGGACCTCAGTAGCTGTGGCTCGCGGGCTCTAGAGCGCAGGCTCGGTAGTTGTGGCGCACGGGCTTCGTTGCTCCGCAGCGTGTGGGATCTTCCTGGACCAGGGATCGAACCCATGTGTCCTGCATTGGCAGGAGGATTCTTAACCACTGCGCCACCAGGGAAGCCCCCCTTCATGGGCCCTTGTGATGATTAAATGAATAATGGAGGGAGGAGCCCTTATTCCCTGTTAAGGGCTGGTCAGAGTGGGTCAGTGCTCAGCACAACCCCTAGGTATTCACTGTGGGCCTCCTATGTGCTGGACATGGTCTCAGGCTCTGGAATACGGCAGTGCCCAAGACAGGCAACATTTCTGCCCTCGTGGAATTCAGGTTCTGAGGAAGACAGACAATAAACACGTAAACACACTGATTTTATAATAATATCAGGGAATGTTAAGATTTTGTTCTTTGTTTTTTAAGCCGAGTCAGAGGCCAGGAGGGAATGGAGCTGATGGCTGGGTGGTCAGGGAAGACTTCCTGGAGGTGCCCCTTGAGTAGGGATCTAAAAAAAGTGAAGTGAGGGAATTCCCTGGTGGTCCAGTGGTTAAGAGTCCATGCTTCCAATGCAAGAGATGCAGGTTCGATCCCTGGTCGGGGAACTAATATCCTGCGTGCCATATGGCATGGCCAAAAAAGTTAATTAATTTTAAAAATTTAAAAAGTGGAGTGAATCACGGAGGCATAGGGCAGAGGCAGCATATTAAAAGAGAAAGTGTATAAAAAGGCCTCAGATCCTTTCTGGCACACAGTAGGTCCTTAAGATTAGCTCCTGATGCTAATGTTAGTAGTAGTAGTAATAGTGTGGTTATTCTAACAGAAGCATCAGGTGAGAGAGAAGGAATGAAGGCGAGGAGATACAGGCCCTGTGTAGCTGCTGCTGTGGTTAAGACAGTTGGTGGTAATGGACAGATGGCGTCCTCCCATTTTACAGATCAGCAGACTGAGGTTCTAGGAGATGGGATGACCTGCCCGAGGTCACGTAGCTGCTAAGACCACCCCAGAGCATCCCTGAGCCGTCCCTGTCTGTGCAGGAATGCTCGCCGTATGCGGCCCACCTCTACGACGCAGAGGATCCGTCCACGCCCCTGAGGACCGTGCCCGGGCTCTGCGAGGACTACTGCCTGGACCTGTGGCAGTCGTGCCGGGGCCTCTTCCGCCACCTGTCGCCCGACCGCGAGCTCTGGACGCTGGAGGGCAACCGTGCCAAGTTCTGCCGCTACCTGTCCCTGGACGACACGGACTACTGCTTCCCGTACCTGCTGGTCAATGAGAACCTCAACTCCAACCTGGGCCGTGTGGTGGCCGACGCCATGGGCTGCCTGCAGCTATGTCTGGAGGAGGTGGCCAATGGGCTGCGCAACCCCGTGGCCATGGTCCATGCCCAGGACGGCTCCCACCGCTTCTTCGTGGCCGAACAGCTGGGGCTGGTGTGGGTCTACCTGCCTGACCGCTCGCGGCTGGAGAAGCCCTTCCTGAACATCAGCCGGGCCGTGCTCACCTCGCCCTGGGAGGGCGACGAGCGGGGCTTCCTGGGCCTCGCCTTCCACCCCCGCTTCCGGCACAATGGCAAGCTCTACGTCTACTACTCAGTGGGTGTGGGCTTCCACGAGTGGATACGCATCAGCGAGTTCAGGGTCTCAGAGGATGACATGAACGCTGTGGACCACGACTCGGAGAGGTGGTTCCCCGGGAGCCCAGGCGGGAGGGGCGGGGCTGCGAGCATGGATGAGCCCTGGCGTGACCACACATGGCCAGTTGGAGTTGTGCCCCCCAGGAGTTGTGAAATATTTTGAATGTCACCCTTGGTGAGGGGGCCGAACCCCCTGTTCTGGGGTCAGGGGAGGGGTAGTTGCCAAACAGACATCACCGGCTCATGTCCAACTCCTGGATCAGGTACTTTAGATGGTGCCTTTCATTTGGTTCTCATACAGCCCCATTTTACAAGAAGTGGAGGCTCAGAGAGGTGATGGGACTGTTAGGTCACACAGCTAGGAAGTGTCAGAGCTGGAACCCTGGTCTGTCTGCCTGCCTCCCAGGCCCAACCCACTGCTCCTACCAGGGCACTATGGCCCCAAGGCCCCAGTCTCACCTGGCCCCACCTCCTATTCCTCACCTGGACCTTCTGCCCCCCAGGCAGATTGCTCTCCTCCCCACCCTCCCCCAACAGCTTTATCTGTTCCTTGCCTCCAGGCCTCTGCTCCTCTCAACACCCAGCCTGCTCTCTGGGTATTAGTTATGCCCCAACTGTTTTCAAAACAGGTTTGACCTAGCCTGGCAAGAAGGGCATGCATAATCTGTCTCCAATGGGAAAATAAATCCTGTACCAGGTAACTCAAATAGGCAGAATTTGATACTGGGAATTAGTTCCTCGGGTGTTGGAAATGATGAAAGAGCAACCTGGAGAAGAAGGGAGGCAACTCTGGGTTTACCAACTGGAAGGAGCTGCCTCCGTCTCTTGGGCTGTGAGAAGTGGGGTTACTGGAGCCCCTGAGCTGGGGCCACTTGGTGGAAGCTAGAACCATGGTGGACCTGGGTGGGGGGAGCTGAAGCCAGCTGGAGTCAGGGACTGCCAAGACACTGCCTGAAACAGAGAGAGAGAGAGAGAAATACTGCTGCCTCTCCACCTCTTACTCCCCACTCTCCGCCCTCCAGTCTCTGGCCAATGCCTTCCACTGGCTGAACCTAGCTGGAGGCCACATAGCGGAGGAGCATGGGAAATGTAGTTTTCAGGAGCTGGCCCCCTGAAGTAGAGGAGCATGTAAGGGGAGGACCAGGACTGATCTGAGGGCAAATAGACAAATAATAGCACATGATGCATTCAATAAAATTGTAAACTCTTGACATTGAACTTATAAAAAGAAGGAGTTAAATATGCTGGCTAATGTGAGGTCTAATGTAGATTTTGCCTGTGAGCTTCCCGGCAGCCTGGGCAAAAGGAGAAAACATAATTCTCATTACCTTATATGAGGCTGCACAACCAGTTCTCCAAGAGAGGCCAAGTTTATCACATGGATCTCACAGAGGGGAGAGAGAGGGACAGAGTGGATGTGTCTTCAATGGTGACTTTTAAATATTGATTCCTGATGAAGACTGAAGATGGAACACAAAATAAACAGATGAATATATTGCAGAGTTAGGGTTCAGCAAAGGCTCTATGGGGACCTCACACGTACAAGCCAAGAAATTGACTCTTGCAGGGGCAGAAGTAGTCACAGCTGGCTCAGGGCAGAGCCAGGAGGGAGTGACCATCCTTGCCTGAGTCAGCTGTCAGTCTCTCTTCTCAGGGCTGAGACCCCAATGGGAGATGGATGACCGACAGTCTGAGCTGTCCTTTCCATGGAGGACCTGGAGTTTGGGGTTGTGTATGACTTACCAAGTCGTGTGTGTTGGCCTCACAATAGAAAGGCTTCTGGTCTTGGCTCTGAAGGTCCAAAGTCCTGGGTTCAAGTTGCTTGACATTTCTGTATCTCGGGTTTCTCATCTGTATTAATAAGGGCTTGGCAAGTCAGTCACCAATCCTGGAACACCTAAACCAGCCTAAGCATTTCGATCAGAGGGAATTTAGAACAAGGAGTTGACTACAAAGGGATTGGGAGGGATGGAGAAGGAAAAGGGGATGGTCAGGTTACCTAAAGATGAGTTCCTGTGAGAAGCTAGAGGAACAAAAGGCAAAAGCATCTTTGTGCTTCTGAGTTTTGCCCCTCCTGGTACCCAGATGTCTGGGTGGAAACCCAGGAGTCCCTATTTGCCAGCCACTCTTGCCCTTCCTGCAACCACCCCTTCTGGAGGCAGCACCAGAAACCAGGGAAATGTGGCCCCTCCCTTCTCCTTGCCTTCCATCCTCCGTTGGCAAGCCCCTAACCAGAAGCCAGCTGGCTGGCAGTATGGCGGAAGGTTCCGCCCTGGCAGGAAAGGAGGTTGCTGAGGAATGAGTGTGACTGAGCACAACCCACACCATCCAGCCCACCTCCTTAGAAGCTACGGCACGTGATCAATGAGAGAGTGTGTCAGAAGTGCTCAGCGTAAGTGGCTGGCGTGTGGGTAGCCGTGATGACGAAGAAACCAGTTGTGCCAGTGATTGGGTCAACAGCTTTGCTTGATCCTAACAGGGCAGGTGCTAGCTGTGGGGAGAGTGGAAAAAGCGCTAGACCAGAACTAGAAGTCCTGAGTTCTAGTCCCAGCTCTGCTATCTACAGGCTGTGTGACCTTGGGCAAGTTGCTCAACCTCTCTGAGCCTCTCGGTTCTCATTGGCACAATGGCGTGAATTATTCCTCCTGCCCAGCCTGCCAGATCCTTATAAAAATCACCTGCTATAAAGGATATGAAAAGTCTTTCCAACTATGAAACGGCATCCAGGAGACAGGAGGTTTTATTGCTGTGATCTTGTTTTGTGTTTTGGCTGAGGTTTTTTTTGGGGGGGCGGGGTGCTTATCTTCTTTTAGGATAATCCTGGAGATCGAAGAACCAGCCTCGAACCATAATGGGGGCCAGCTGCTCTTTGGGGATGATGGGTACCTCTACATCTTTACTGGAGATGGCGGGATGGCTGGAGACCCCTTTGGAAAGTTTGGAAATGCCCAAAACAAGTATGTTCTGATTTGGTTGGCTGGTGGGTTGTTTTACATACGCCTAGTTTACATACTATCCTGGAGGGGGAGTTACTTCCTCAGCCACGAAGTGTAGGGTAGTAGAAAGGGCTTTGGACCCCAGCTCAGTCTGCAGCTAGCTAGCTGGGGAACCCAGTCACTTCCTCTCATCTGTTACAGAAGAAGAAGAATCCCCATGGGGGGAATAATCATCATCATCATTATCTAGTCATGAAGAATAAAGGTGATCACGTTGTCATGGGTACCTGAGAGGTGACATCACAGAGCCTCTGGGAAGATCAGATTTTCTCTGAAGTCTGCCCAGCCCTGCTGGAACCAGAGGAAGGAAAAGGGTGTTTTTCAGACCTAATGGGGAGTGTGGGCTGGTTGGGGCAGGGCTGTGTGGATGGGCATGTGGGTTTTCTGCCCCAAGGGTCACCCAAGATGGCCCAGAAATTGAAGCATAGTCTTGCTTTCAGTTCCTCACTTCTGGACTTGAGTAGATGGCCTGCCACCATTCCCCTCCTTACACACACACACACACCCCTCGTGCATATAGATGAGGATATCCAGGAGTCTCAGGGCAGCCTCCGCCATTCTCTTAGTCAAAATCACAAAACCTTCCTCAGCCCAGAGAGTAAAAATAGCGAGTATGCCGTTGATTACAGTAATTAAAGTGCTCCCAATTTGTGACTTGTGCTTTCATATGTGACAGTGTAAGAATCATTGCAGCGTTCTCATGTTTGGGATGTATTTAGAGATGAAGTTGAGAAAATAGAAATTAAGGATTTGTGGATAATTGGACAGGACTTAAAACATTACTTTGCTGTTATGAGTTTTGCCCACTTATATAGCAAAGCTTGGTGCGTGGCGTATGGGCTCCGGGGAGTAATCTGTAGCTTGGTGGTGAGCAGACTGGAGCGTATGAGAGGAACCCACTGGGGCAAAACCTAGAAGTCCGCAATAGGGGATTAACTGTGGGACATCTACTGGGGGAGAGCGTTTTATCATCATGAAAGAGAATACTTGTGAGGTACCTTTAATGAGGAGGGAAAAGCTTGGGTGCTGATGCTATGTGAGAATGATGGGGTACACAGTTGCATCAAATGGGCAGACCAGCCAGTCCTGCCTTGAAAAGCAAGCCAAAGGGAGTGCACCAAAATGCTAACAGCTGGGGAAAACCACGCAGTAAGTAAGCGCATCAAAAAATCACAGATGAAGAGGGCGTACATCTTTAAGCATGTTACAGGTTCCATCATGTGTCACTTTTGTTATGCAATGAATGAGACCCAAAAGCCGCTCACCCCCAGGGGCTGCATGGAGGTTAGGGCTGCACCCCGTTCTGCGCGGCTCTGGAGGGCACATCCTGAGGTCTCCTCGCTCCAAGGGCTTCAGAAGCTGATGTTGCACGGTGCCGAGGAGTGGCCTTGCTTCCCGTCCAGAGCTGCCTGAGGGACCTGGCAAGTTGTCCCCCTCATCTTTGAGATCAGGGTGGTGTGTGTGGAGTGTGGGGTGAATTAAACCGCTTCTGAGGCCTGTTTGGCTCTCTGACATGCTGCGATGGCACTGGGGGTGTATGAGAGAGATGGCGAGTACCCCAGCCTCCCGTTTCCTGCTAAGATCTGAGGTGCTCTCTCTCTCGTCTCCCTGCCCTGGCCTGTACTCTTGTATGGGGCACTTGACTTTGATTGCAGGTGTTCATTCATTCGCTCAGCAAACACTTCATGAGCACCTGCTACGTGCCAGTCACTGTGCTAGGTGCTGGAAGAAAGCTGTACATAGAAATAATTTTTCTGGTATGATTTGCACCCTGTAGCACAGCCCTGTGAGTAGGCAGGAAAGAGAGGGACCACCTAATATCACAGTGGACGACACCAAGGTCTGGGGAGATTAGAAAGTGTGGTAAAGAGCTTGGATTTCTGCAGCCAGGCTGCCTGGGCTGGATCCCAGTCCTATCATTTCCTGGGAATGTTTTATGCCCTTTCTGAGCTCAGCTGCCCCGTCTGTAAAAAGGGGATCACAATAGCACCCACCTACCTAAAAGATTCGTCGTGAGGATGAAACAAAGCAATAGATGGTATGTATGCCCAATACTTAGGACAGGGCCTGGGACTTGGTAAGGTGCCCCATAAATGTCGAATGAATGAATGAGGTTACCCAGCTGGTAAGTGGCTGAGGAGGTCGTGAACCTGGGGTCTCTGGCCGCACAGCCGAGGCTTTCCTTGCACCTGGGTTGGCTGTGGGCCCCGGGCCCCGGCACACCCATCCCCGCACCTGCCTCGCGGTGCCCGAACCCCTGGCGCGGGGACACCCCGAGCCGGCTCCTTCTCTCACCCGGCCCGCAGGTCAGCGCTGCTGGGCAAGGTGCTGCGCATCGACGTGAACCGCAACGAGCGCGGCCCGCTCTACCGCATCCCGTCTGACAACCCATTCGTGGGCGACCCCGCCGCGCGGCCAGAGGTCTACGCCCTCGGGGTGCGCAACATGTGGCGCTGCTCCTTCGACCGCGGCGACCCGGCGTCGGGCGCGGGCCGCGGGCGCCTCTTCTGCGGCGACGTGGGCCAGAACAAGTTCGAGGAGGTGGACCTGGTGGAGCGCGGCCGCAACTACGGCTGGCGCGCCCGCGAGGGCTTCGAGTGCTACGACCGCAAGCTGTGTGCCAACACCTCCCTCGGTGACCGCCCCCCGCCCCGTACCCCCGCGCCCTCGAGAACCTGTCTCCCCGGATCTGCCTCCCACTCCACGGCTGTGCGCCCGCGCCTCCCTCCGTGGCCAACCGCGCCCCCGACCGGGACTTCCTTGCCCGCGCAAACGCATGCCCTCCCCCCGCTTTACAAACTTGAAACACCACCCTTTCTGGTTGACTGTCTGGGGCCCTCTCGGGAACCTCCCCCCTCCCCTCCCTCCTCCCTCCTCTCCCCCCCCCGCCCCGCAAGACTCAGGACCACCCGAGAAGCCTTGTTGGGAACCGGCCGCAGACTCACCCAGCTTCTCCCGCCTCTGCAGATGATGTGCTGCCGATTTTCGCCTACCCGCACAAACTGGGCAAGTCGGTCACTGGGGGCTACGTGTACCGGGGCTGCGAGTACCCGAACCTGAACGGCCTCTACATTTTCGGAGACTTCATGAGCGGGTAAGTGGCCTGACAACATTTCTGAGGGGGCAGGGACTGCAGAGGTGAAAGGTGGGGGAATGTACAACACCCTTGACAGCCCCGGGGCCATCTGGCTCCTGTGAGCCAGGACCTGCCGTGGCGCCAACAGGCCAGAGAGGTCACCCTGCTGGAGAGAGGGGAGCTGGGGCTCCAGCTGGGGTCTGCCCGTGGGACCCGTGGAGCCATGCTTTATGGCAGTGTTGCCTCCACTGAGCCCCTAGAGGGTGTGTGTGTGTGTCTGGGAGAGGGGTTGGGATGAGTCACACCGCAAACAGGTTTCAGAGGGGGTAGAACATACCTCCCAAGCCTGCTGTGGGTCAGACTCTCTCCCCAGGGGAGCTTACGGAGACTCATGACCATCTCGTTCTCCTGCTGTATAGAGGGGGAAAACTGAGGACCAGAGAGGCCCAGGGAAGTCACACACCTGGCATGATGTTTAAAAGTACAGCTGAGATGGCCTGTGTTCAAAGCCTGGCACGCTTGCTGGCCATGTGACCTTGAGCCGGTTTACTTCGCCACTCTGTGCTTCAGTTTCCTCACCTGCAAAATGATCATAGTACCTGCTTACTAGGGTTGTTTGAGACCTGTTCATACACATACAGCACTTAGAATCTAGAATGTGCTCAATTTCTGTGGTTTTTTTTTTTTGCTTGTTTAATAAGGTGGAAGGATCTGTTGGTTACCTGAGGACCCTTCCAGCCTCATGTGAAATGAATTTTTTGTTTGTGTGTTTGTTTTTTTGCCACACCGTGCAGCTTGTAGGATCTTAGTTCCCTGACCAGGGATTGAACCCGGGCTTCCTGTAGTGGAAGCGTGGAATTCTAACCACTGGACCACCAGTTCTTAATTATTCCCACCCTAGCCTCTCCACGTAAGGGCAGCTGAACTGGGTCTCTTGGGAGAGGAAATAAGGAAGCCCGAGGATGGCAGAATTCTTACCTCCTCCAGGCTGCTGACCTAGGGTGGCTTTGTGGCCAGGGCATCTACAGCTGGAGCTGACAGAGAACCCTGACCTGGGCCTCTGGTTGCTGGGTCCTTCTCCCAGCTTAGGGTCTCCCTCTGGGACTCAGTTATCTCATCTGGAAAATGGGTCTAGATGAAACCCCTTTTTTTACCCCGATTCTCCTTTTTCCCTTCTGCCGTCCCCCAGGAGTGCCCAAGCCACCTGAACACAGAAATTCAATGAATTTTGCCAACACTTCCCAAACCCCTCTGCTGGGTCAGGCTTTGTGCCAGGGCCAAAGCAACAGAGTTGGCGAGTACCTCATACCCAAGTCGGGGAGACAGACCCACACTCGGTCCACTCGAGTCCAGCCTCAGAGAGCCTGTGAGCAGTGCTGGGGAAGCCCAGCACAGGGGCAGTCAGGAGGGCTTCCCAGAGGAGGGGATGACCGAGCAGGGCCTGAAAGTATCAATAGGTGATTGACAGGCATAGAAGGGAGTAGGGGACAAGATCAACATTTTCTGAAGATGCCAAATTCTCCATTTCACGCTCCGAAGTGGAGGCAGCTCCAGAGTATGTGGAAACTCCTGGGCACCAGCCTTGGAGGCTTCTGAACTGGAAGTCAGCTCCTGACTGCCTCCTGCTGGTCAGCAGGTGGGGTTGAGCTGAGGGGGCAGGAACCAAGCTGGTCTTGTTCACCCCTGTGCTTCTCCTGGTACGTAGCAGGTGTTCAGTAAAGCCTGCACCTGAGTCCGGCTTCATGGATGTGCGGCCTGTGCGCTCACACGGGGCTCCGTCTCAGAAGTGCCCACGCTTGGTTTAATGCTCTGCTGTTACTGTCTTGAAATGTTTAGTGCTTTTTGAACAAGGGGCCCTGAATTCTCACTTTGCACTGGACCCTGCAAGTTATGTATGGTCCTGGTTGCATGGATAATAGATGATTGGATGGATGGATTGGTGGGTGGGGTTCCCTCGGGTACCCTGCCAAGCATGACCCCACAGGCCATCCTCCTTCGCAGGCGTCTGATGTCCCTCCGAGAGAACCTGGGGACAGGCCAGTGGCGGTACAACGAGATCTGCATGGGCCGTGGCCAGACCTGTGCGTTCCCGGGCCTCATCAACAACTACTATCCACACATCATCTCCTTCGCGGAGGACGAGGCCGGTGAGCGCTCCTGAGGCTCTCCATCCAGGCTGCCGATGCCTGGGACCGTGCCCCACCCCAGGGGTCCTTCTGGCCGCCGATACCTGGGACTGTGCCCCACCCCATGGGTCCTTCTGGCCACCGATGCCTGGGACTATGCCCCACCCCATGGGGCCTTCTGGCCTGGGATTCGAGGGATGGCATCTCAGGCCTGAAATCACCTTCTGGCTGGAGAGTGACGTGTTCAGAGGGCTTGAGCCTTGCTTCGGTGTCAGTTCTCACTCATCTGAGCTTCCATTTCCTTATCTGTCCTTCCCTTTCCCCAACTCTCACCCTGGGCAGGCTTGCCAGGAGGGATAGCGTGACCCCACAGGTAAGAGTCCAGGGCAGTTATGGGACCAGGAAAGGATCTGTGATGGTGGAAATGCAGGCAGGTAGGGGAAGAGTGCCTCCCTGGGGACCTCCAGCTCCCTGGGTTCCTGATGGCAAATGTATCAGGGCCTATAAATGAAGCCGCGTTGTCTTCAGAACGTGGTAGGCACCGCTCTCTTGCCTGTTAGTGGGTCCCCCATTCAGGCACTTGTGTTTTCAATGCAAGGAGCAGAGGGGGAGGGGAGAGGAAGAAGGACCATGGAGGCTGGCTCCCGCCTTTGTCCTTGGCCCCGGATTGTCCCTGGACAAAAGCTGAGGGGCCCCCAGTGGGGCCTGGTGGATGCTTGGCCAGGTTACTAAGCAACGCCTTTCCAGGGGCCTTTCGAGAGGTGTCCCCTGCAGGGCCCAGTGCCCAGAGCCCCCAGGCCTGAGTCTGGGAAGCCTTTGTTGAACCGATACCCGTCAGAGTCTAAATTTTCAAAAGGGCAGCCTCAGACCCCACCACCCTCCCTGAGCCCACTGGGCCCTTGAAAGCCATTTCTTTTGGTTATTAGGGAGTTAACATGTTTTGGAAAGGGGGGGATGCCCTCCCCCCACCCTCCTCCGCCTCCAGAGCCCAGACCCAGAGGAGGGCCTGGAAAGCCCAGTTCCCAGGGGGCCCTTCCTCAGCCCTCTGAGTGACACCAAGGGATGGACAGCCAGGAGGAGGCCCCTCAAAGACAGACAGCCCAGGGGTAGCATGTTGGTGAGTTGGGCAGGTGGCCCCAGAAGGCACAGAGACCTGGGGGTCTGATGCCAGCAAACGTCTCCCAGCTCCCTCTGGCCTCTGCCTCTCTGCATGATCTTCTGACACGTGCAAATTGCAAAACAAGGACCTCTGCTGGCCCAGTGTCCTCCAGGGACAGTCCATACCGCAGACACCAGGAGGGTCGTGTGGCCCTGGGCAGGGCTTAGTAGTGCCATGGGGGCTCCCCGCCCATGCACGGGGTTGGGGGCTTCCCGCAGATTAAGGCTGGATGGGGCCTTGGGGTGCACCCGGGCCAATGCTGTCACTTTACAGATGGGGAAACTGAGGCTGACTTTTCCTACCTGGTCGTGGGGTGGGGGGCACTGGACATAGCCTGGCCCCTGGAGGCCTCCCAGAGCAGGACCTCAAGCACAAGCTTGGTCAGGCAAAGGCAGACAATGGAGAAGGGCATCCAGGCTAAGGGAGCAGCATGTGCGGGAGCTCCGAGTTGCTCCAGCGCCTGGAGCATAGGGTCAAGGAGGGCTGCACAGCCAGGGAGGGCACCGTGGCCGCTCCCAAGGGCTTCTCTCCAGAAAGGAGCCCAGAAAGGGAAGTAAGGCTCAAAGCCACATGCAAATTCATAGCTGTGCCTATGGACTCTCCAGCAGGGGCCTGCTTGCCAGGGGCCCTGCTCCCTCCCACAGGGGGCATCACACCTTGTGGGCCTATTCCTCCCCCCCCCAACTTGACACATCCCCCCCCCCCCGCCCCACTCCCACCGGCCACACTCCCACCACCCACCAAGGCAGGGCTGGTGCTCCTGGAGGGAGGTCAGGGGCCATTGACCACTCAGCATCCTGCCCTCCCCAACCCCCAGCTCCCCACCACAGCTGGTCTACGCCAGTTGCACAGGTCACCTCTCAAGTGTCTTCCCCTTCCAGAATTCGCCAGGTTTCCTGGGCCTTGATTTTCAAACGCCTCCCTCATGCAGCCCTCCCTGACTGCACCAGTCACCAGGGACATACTTTCCTTCAAGCTCCCTTCTCACTGTCTGTATTGGCCTCTCCTTGGGGAAACCACCCCCACGCCCATCCTTGGGAGGGCTCTCCATTGCCTCTTACAAGGACAGAAGGTATTAGCATGGCTGAACCATCATAACGAGCCACATGTGGCCTGTGTCTGGGCCTCCCAGCTACCACGTCTCCTATGTTAGCAGATGTTTCTGAGTTCCAGTCCTGCTTAACCGTTCACCAGTTGCGTGACTTTGGGCAAGTCACTTGACCTCTCTGGGCCTCTGTTTTCTCATCTGGAAGCTGAGAATAATGAAGCTTAATTCCTGGGCATGGGTACCTGTGGCAACAAGGGCCAGGGGGCAGGATGGGGGTGGGAGAGAGCAGAAAGCTCAATTTCCCCAAGAGCATCCGTGGCACCAGGTGCTCATAATTCCATTTCTACAAACAGAGGCTCTGCGTGGGGCTGTCCCGGAGCTGCTGGAGCTCACGTGGGGCCAAGCGCAGGGGCTGGGATTCACACTAGAGGCTCCCGAAGCACGAACTCCTCTGCCCCTGCTACTTGCCTGGGAGGTGCCTGCTGGTCAGTGGAGAGAGACTGTGTCCCCAAGGACTTGGCAGGACCGGGACCCTGGGCAACGATGACAATAGCAGCAGCAATAATAGTTAATACTGATGGAGCATCTCCTCTATGCTCTTTTCATCCTCACAACAGCCCTATGAGGCAGGCCCATCGTGGGGATGAGGAGGCTGCGTCATCGGTAAGCAGCCAGTGGGGAGCGGGGCTGTGGACCGCCGTTGGTGCTCAGAGGTGTGTGATCCTGGGCATGAAACCCAGGCAGGGACCAGAGGTGGGGCTGGGTCACCAGGGAGGAGACAAGAGTCCAGAGGTCAGAGCCTGGGAGGGTCCGGGCAGAGCAGCCGGCAGCCCGGGAGGCTGTGCTGCAGAGGCCCCTGGGCACATCTGGATGCCTTTCTCAGCCTCAGTTTCCAGTTCTGGGGACTGGAGAGTTACACTGACCTGCAGCATCTCCCCTCCTGGCTCACTGAGGTTGGGGTGCACCTCAGAACTGAGGTGGGGCAGTGGGGCTGGCTGGGATGGTATTCCAGGCAGCGTTCTCACTTCTTGCCTCTTTTCTTGTCCAAGGCGAGCTGTACTTCATGTCAACGGGCGTGCCAAGTGCCACAGTGGCACGTGGGGTTGTCTACAAAGTGATCGACCCCTCCAGGTGAGTCCCCCCCCACCCCACGCCCATCATGGCCTCAGCTCCTACGGTCTGCCAGGAGCCCTCCCCTCCATTACCTCATTTCCCCTCTCTACCACTCCTTAAGGTGGTTGTAGTTAATATGCCCATTTTTCAGATGAGAAAACTGAGGCCTGGAGAGGGGAAGTGACTAGCTAAGTTCATACTGCTGGTGAGGGGCAGATCTTGGATTCAAAACCGATCTGCCAGCCTCAAAGTCCAGTTCTATTCATGCTAAGAGGGCACCAAAGATACCAGTGGGGACCCATAAATATGGGCCCCACAATCACATTTTTTTTTAATTCTTTTTTTTAAATTTTAGAACAGTTTTAGATTTACAGACAAGTTGCAAAGATAGTACAGAGTTTCCCATATACCCCTCACCCAGTTTTCCCTATTATTAACGTCTTACATTATCATGGTACATTTGTCACAATTAATGAACCAATATTGGTACATTACTATTCATTAACTGTCACTTTTTTTTTTTAATTGAGGTAACTCCATACTTTAAAAACAAAAGGATGTCTCTAGTTTTTCCCTAGTGTCCTTTTCTCCGGAATCACATACAGAATCCCACATTGCATTTAGTCATCATGTCCTGTTAGCTTCCTCTAGTCTGTGACAGCTTCTCAGACATTCCTTGTTGACCACACTTCTCTGTTGAAAGCACAAAGCTATTAATTACTGACATAACTATTTATCAAGAAAAACATGAGCGCTTGCTCCTTTCCTCTCCCCGAGGTCTCGGCCCTCTTTGGATTTATGTCATTGTGGAGCAGCACACGCAAACTTTGCATTTTTCTTCGTAGGTCTATCCTTATTTTGTATAAACATTTCCACGTTGCAACATTACCCTCAGAAGGCTCCTTTCTGATGGCGACGTAATTTTCTGTTGAGTCGCTGCACCGCGATTGCCTGATCCGTCCCTTGGACATTTCGGTTATTTCCAGTTTTTGAAAAAAGACTGCTTCTCTAAGGAAATATCACCTAATTCATGCCAGATGCTGCCGGAGACCCACTGTTTCCTTTAGTCTGTGCCGCATCCTTCTGGGCTCATGGCCCCCCGCGCAACAGAGGGAACCCGAGGCTTAGGGATTTCTGCTCAAGGTCTCGTGGGTGGGAGGAGCCAGCAACAGGCTAGACCCCCGTTCCCTCTCTCCCTCCGTGACCCTTCTCATCCCTTTTTTCATTTTTCTCTTTTGGAATCCACGTAATTTTGTGCATCCACAACATATTGAAGAGGGGCGCCGTTCCAGAACATTTGGAAAATGAAGAAATGGGAAGCAGAGGGGGTAGGGTGGGGTCATCCGTTGCCGCCCAAACATAAACGCTGGGGCATTTTTTGGTGTATCTCCTACCCTTTGGCAAGACAAAAATTTTTATGTAATTTCCTTAAGGAACGAAACTCAGCTGGGTCCGTCTGAAGCGTGTGGCTAATACGTGGAGTTCAAAGCAGCCGGAAAACCCACACTTTCTGCAGCTTGGAGAAGGGTGTGAGCTGGGCTGTGTTTCAACCTCTGGGGGGAATGGCCCACGTCCCTCCTAGGTTTCCCTCTCTTGCCCGGGCTGTCTGGAAGCCACCCCGGGTCACGTGGCTGCTTCAGCCCTTGGGCTTCCCCCTTGTGCTCTTGGGACCCATTGAAGTCTTGGACCCACGTGGGTTGGTCCCAGAATAGGGTCGGTCCCATTCAAAGACTCACAGATCAACGGCCAGAAGCTCATTAAAATGGGATTCCATTCCTTACTTGTGCCCCTCAGAGATGTCCAAGGAGACCCAATTCATAGCCCTGGCAACCCTTCTCAGGCTCTTTTCTCTCCCAGCCCTCTCCAACCTCACATTCCAAGGCCCCCAGAGCCCGCAGCTCTGCTGCCAGCCCCGAGGCTTTCTCTCTCTCCCCACTTTATTCTTTAGATCGACTTAACCTTTCCCTTTGATTCTGTATCACCAGAAATCCCAGAACCAGAGGGGCAGAGAGAAACCCTCCTCAGAGGCTGTGGGGAATGGGGACCAGGGTAAAGTGCAGGAATGGGGCTGTGGTGACAGTTACAGGAGCTGGACCGGCAGGCTGGGGAGAAGGACTGTGACATTTGATCACATCCCAAGGACACTTCATGCTGAGAATTAGAAGTGGCCCTCCTGCTCTGCAGGCAGAGGCTGAGCGGGCACTTGGCAGGCCGTTACAGGGGGGTCCTGTCCTGGGGTTGGACTCTCGGGGTCTGGGAGGCGTGGACCAGCAGGGTCACTGCTCCGTCAGTGGCCACTGTTGTTACCACGCACACGTGCCCAGGCCTGAATGCACACCGGCCCTTTCCCTTCCTTCCTGGCTGCAGGGGGCAGGTGATGTCGGGGGGGACATGCTCGGGGCGGGCTCCCAGGGTGCGGCTCATGACCTCTTGTGTGTCTGCAGACGGGCACCACCCGGCAAGTGTCAGATCCAAGCCGCCCACGTGAAGGTCCGGGGCCGCCTCGTCCACTTCGTGCCCAAAGAAAGTAAGTGTCCGCCAAGGTGGGGACACGGCGGGAGTTCCTGCAGCCCACACCCGCTGCCCCTCTTCCGGATGTGGATGCCCTTCCTTGGCCCCCATGCCCAGCACTGGGCCCCGTGCACAGGAGCTACTAGGAGTGGGGGGAGCTGCTTAAACCTCCTTCCACTCATGCAGTGTCTGCCAGTCCCAGGCCACGGTGGGAGGCTCCAAGGGGCTGCAGGCCTCACAACGAGCATGGCAAAGGGAGAAGTAGCTGGTCCAAGGCAAAGTTCACTCAGAGTTCTTGGGAGGGACAGAGAAAGAGGGTGTATCTCAAGATTGGAATGAGTTATTCTAGGTGCAAGGGCGCCTAGGGGAGCGTTTGGGCTGGGTCTGCTATGCGAAGGTTCTGTTTTGACGAGCTTGGTGGGGAGAGAGGGGTACAAATCCTCATGGGCCGAGGGCCACCAAAGCCACGGTGACCACCCATGGGATCTGGGGCCATCTGAAGAGGGTATGGCCCGAGCAGAGGGCTGTTCCACTGGGTCCAAGCTAGGTGGGAACAGAGAGTGCCCCAGTGTTGTCAGATCTTCCAGTTCTCAGGACAAGCAGACCATCCATCCATCCATCCACCCACCACGTACATGCGCTTCATACTGGGGCTATAATGCTGAGTGAGCAGTTATGGTCCCTGCCTTCTCGGGTTGTCATTACACAATCTCCCGATTTGAAAATATTGGCAACTAGGTCACAATTTTCAAAACCGCCCCGTGGGCCAAAGGAAATACTTCAGTGAGCTGAGTGTACCCAGCAGGTCTCCAGCTGGCAGACTGGGGTGGGGAGCAGGAAGAGGGGGAGGTTGGGTGGGTGGGTGGGGTACCCGGCCCTGAGGAAGGGGTGCCCCACCAGGAAGAGGAAGGCTGGGGAAGCTGGCTGTTTGGGGAATTCACTTCCAGCTGCAGTTGGTTTGGGGCCTTGGCAGAGTTTTCCATTCACTCATTCAGCAGTTTCTGCATTTCTGTTAGTTACCCGCTGTGTGCTGGATGCTGGGGCCACAGAAGAAGTCAGACGAGGCCCAGTCCTGGCTGGGGCAAACAGAGGGGTCATTTAGTGTCCCAGGCCCTGTGACAGAAGTTGTGCTGGGCACCATGGGGACCCAGAGCAGTGCAGAGCTGGGGGTGGAGGGGGCGGGTTGGGAAGGTCCTGGAGGCTGAGGGTTGAGCCTGGATGGAGAGGAAAGTGCATTGCAGAGGCCGGGGAAGGGCAGCCTAGGCAGTGAAGGAAGCAGGAGAAGCAGGAGCCCTGGGAGCTGGAAGTCCTTCCCTGCGGGTGGAGTGGGGGCCAGGGTGCAGGTTGGGGGAGCGTCTGGCTCATGTTCTGGCCCCGGCCTGCACCTGGTCTTGTATCCGGGCCCTTTCTCAGCCCCTGTCTCAGTGGGTTTCCAAGTGAGATGGGCCGGTGGCCCCGGGATCCCTGCCCATAGTAACTGAGCAGTTTGGGGTTTCCACCTCCCCTGAGGGAGGCAGTACCTGGCAGAGTGTCTGACGTGGAGTGACGTTTAGCCCTATGGCTGACCTGGGCCAAGCGTGAGGGCCACGTCCTGCAGGGACAAAGGGAATCACCCACTACAGCTCCCCGACACCTAATGAGTCCAGGTCCCCGTGGAGGGGTCAGTGGGCGGGGTCAGTGTGGACCACAGCCCCGCACCTAGAGAGCTCCTGACCAGCGCCCCCTGTGATGGGCAGGGGGACCAGCAGCCTTGGGAGCCTGGAGGGGAGGGCTTCACCTGAGCAGAGGGGCCCCGGGCAGGCTGGTTCCCATCCTGCTGGCCTGCCCTCCACCCACTGCAGTTCCCCCCCACCCCACCCCCATCAGCCGTCCTCAGCTTCCTCACCCTTAAACCAGAGATTGGAGCCAGAAAGCATCATTTGCTCTGAGAAGCTCTCCCAGACACTCCTTCCCTGCCACTGAGCTTAGGAATTTACAGTGTGAGAGTCCTTCCCCTGGCAGACAGGGGACTCCCAGAAGGGGAGGAGGGATGGGGGTGGGGAGAGGCCCAGCAGCGGAGGCGCGAAGCAGCTGCCAGCAAGTGTGTGCAGAATGGCTGCAGAAGCACCTGGCGTTCGGCTCCAGGTGGGCACCTTGTGGGGCCAGGGTGACCCGAGAAGCACGCTTGGGGCACCTCATCCTCAGGGTCTGAGTAGAGGGCAGAACGGGACATCTTTCCCTGGGGTCTGCATTCTGGGGTGAAGAGCTGGGGTCGGGTGGGGTCGCGTGGGCTGAGCTGGGGCGGCTGGGGCCCTTCCGAACACAGGCTCTTCCTCTGCGCAGAGTTCATCCGGAGGATGGAGAGCACCCCGCGGCCCACCAAGGCTCCCCGCCGCAGCCGCCCCACGACCCCTCCACTTGCGCCCACCCTGCGGCCGGCACGACCCACCCCGCGGCCCGGGCGCCGTCGGGGCGGCGGGCGGCGGCGGGGACGGCTGGGCACCGCGGTCCCCGAGCCCTCGAATGGCGCCGTGCGCCTGGTGCGGCCCCCGGGCCTGAGTCCAGGCCGCGGGCGCGTGGAGGTGTTCGCGGGTGGACGTTGGGGCACCGTGTGCGATGACGCCTGGGACACCAAGGGCGCTGCCGTCGTGTGCCGCCAGCTGGGCTTCGCGTACACCGTGCGGGCCACCAAGCGTGCTGAGTTCGGCGAGGGCCACACGCTGCCCATCCTGCTGGACGACGTGCGCTGCACAGGCAGTGAACGCAACCTACTGGAGTGCGCGCACGCCGGCCTGGGTTCCCACAACTGCGACCACCAGGAGGACGCCGGCGTCGTGTGCAGCCGCGAGAACCCCGATCTGTAGGCGAGCATCGTCTGTCTGGCCAGCCGGGCTATCCATTGTGCGTCCAGAGCCCGTCCAACCTGTGCGCGCCTGGTGCGTGCGCCCGAGTCTGAGGGTGGGGGGAACGCGGGGGGTGGCCTGGGGGTGGCCCATCTGTAATGCTGTCCTGTGGTGCGTGCAGTGCACGCGTGTTCTTTGTGTGTTCCTGCCCACATGTCTTTGAAACCCCGCAGCCGCAGTATGTGTTGGGATCCGTGTGGCCCCTGTGGGTGTGTGGGTGCAGCCTGAGGTGTTCTTTGCTCGCCTCCAAGCATCTCAAGCAGCCGCAGGAGCACAGTCTGGTAGAACCCTGAGCCCTGAGGGCAGCTGCCCCTTAAGGGCAGACATGACCTCACTGCACTAACAGAGGCACAGCCGGTGGGTGGAGGGAGGGGACCAGGCCTGCCCTGCCCACGGTGGGGAGTGGAAGGCCCCAGACCAGCTGGAGCACGGCTTGAGGAACGTGGCCCAAAGGGCGTGGACCGGTGGCCTGGCAGTCAGAGTTGCTGAAGAGAACACGAAGGCATCTAGTAGGGCCAAGGCAAGTCATCAGACTGATGGGTCCAGGGTGACCCCTGGGCTGTGGCTGTCCCAGCGAGGGTCAGGCTGCCTGGGAGGAAGCGAGTGCCGGGGTGGGCTGGCAGGGATGACTGGATGACTTCCGGGAGGAGCCTTCTGGGCCTCAGCATCACACTGGACCCGGCCACTCCAAGCACCACGGTCGCTGGTGAGGCTTCAGATCTCTCCACTTCCGAGCCGGTGCCAGGGCCACCTCCGTCATCTCCATTCCCCACCCACCCTGCTCAGTGAGATCCCAGGGAACCCTCTGCCCCCTCAACCCAACCCCGGGGGCCGACCGGGCTGCGGACCCAGTGAGACCACGGGTGCTCCATCACCCTGTGCTGCGCCAACAGCGCGACTGTTTACAAACCCCTTCCTGCCTCTTTTCTCTGACTCGCACCTGCCTGGAAGCGGAGGGAGGGGGTGGGAGAAGGGGGCTGGGCCTGCAGCCTCTGTCCTGCTCACAGGCGGAAGTCCCTTTGCCCACTAAGGGCCTCAGCCTTGGCTCATGCCAGGCCGGTCAAGGGGCATCAAGTATGGCTGGGCTCAGCCTCTGATAGGGGGCCAAGGAGGGGAAGCAGATAGATGGTCACCGGGCAGTGAGGACCAGATATGGCCCGTGTCGGGGGCGTGGGGGAGGGCTCTGGGTGGGGCATCCCAACCCAACCTGAGTGTTGTCCTGGGAGTTGAGCTGGCACTAGGGATGGTGTGCCTGGCAGAGGAAATGGTGCGGGCAGAAGCCTGTCGGGGTCTCCCAGCTGCTCGCTGAAGCTGAGTGAGGAGTATGAGGCTGCAGAAAAAAGCTTTAGCGTCACCCTCTCGAACTCCCCCCGGCCTCTGCCTGAAGTGGGGTGGGCGAGGGACCCAGACCCTTGTGGCTCCTCTAACCCTGCTGAGCCCCGCGTGGAAACCACAATTAACCCTGCCACCGAGTGTAGCCTGTGTGCTGGGCACCGTCGTAAGAACGGTGCCGCATACCTGAAGTCATTCAATCCCCGCAACAGCCCTCTTCCTCCCCTTTCACAGATGAGGAAACCGAGGTGCACAGACCTTAAATATCTTAGCTGAGATCACCCAGCCAGGGAGGGGGAAGCCAAATGTGAACACGAGCTGGCTAGCCCTAGCACCCGCCAGGTGTATAACCACTGAACCCCCTGGCTATACCCGCAGAAAGTCTCAGCATGGCCCAGGGCCCCTGCCCGCTGTAGGCTGCCAGCCTCGCTGGGAAACAGCTGATGGAGACCCCCCACTGCCCAGGGGTGGTTGACTGGGCAGCTTCCAGGTCGCTGGGACATCCGGAAGTGTTAGGAGCTGGGAGGCCCGTGGGGACCATCCAGGCCAAACTCCTCACTGTGCCGATGGGGAAATGAACCTGGGAGGCTGAGTGTCCCAGGCCTTTGGTCAGATGGGGCCGAGCTAAGACTAGAGCCCAGGGAAGGCGGGGTGGCTCTCGGGGCCCTCAGAGCAGGACAGCACCATGGC